ATCTTATATAGTGTTACTCTAGTAGTACGCGGGTTCAAATACCCGGCGGAGGTCGTCGAATTTTTAAGGGCGGAAAAATTCAGGGAACAAGTCCTCCGGGAGGGACTTTAAGCCGTGGGTCCCGTGTCGTAGCTTTACGGCACGTAAAAGAACCTCATACCTCCAAAGGAGGTCACTGAGCCAAAATTGCAGACGTTTGCCGCCCAACAGCAGTCACTAATACCTCCGGTAGATGGGGGAAGCATTATAGATACTTCTCAGCCAGCAGAGCCGGTCTCGCTGGCTGGGCGGGACTGATGGTAAGCACCAATACCGGTAGGATATAGAGACTGGTAGAAATCATAGAGGGAAGCACAATGGACCACTACAGGTCTAAGTGCATGGGGAAACCCACCCTCTCTAATAACTAACTAACTAGTGTTACTCTATGTGGAGGCTACTCATCTACACATTCTACCCTAAAGATGGAGGCGATGCGTTCCTCCGAAACATCAGTTCACACAAGATCTACACGGCGCCAAATCCCAGAAGACGGCAATCTTCGTAATCTCAGCCGTGAAAACCTCAAATCTTACAAGGAACAGACAGTTCACGAAGAAGTGACGGCGCCGTCAGAAAATGAACTGTACTGCACATCAGTGTACCTGATACATGTACAGATATGTTCATTGAAAATGTTCAGTACGTATGCTTATAGTGTCTCTTTGCTCTTACACTGCAGAAAGACGTTAATTTTTATATCTCTGTATATTACGCCTTCGCGTTACATTGCGATAAAACAGTTGGCTGCCAAACCGATGCATGCACTAATGAGTATGTACGTGAAGGAGCTCACGGCGGTGTTTATTCTAAGGTCACACGACATTAGGCCTATATCCTAGACGATTGAACTTTTCGATGCTAAGTAGATGTATCAGCCAAAATAGTCTTCACCGCCATCTGCCGTCATTTGCAGAAGATAAAAATGTTTACTCAGAAGAGCCTGTTGGAGTCTGTATTTTGTATTCTTTCAGTATTAAATGTAATGATTAAATTGCTAGAAGGCAGAACCCCTAGTCATAAATAAACATGTTTAGACGATGTAGTTTTTATGCATCCAGTTTTATTAATATATAGGTTATTATACACAATATAATTTCATGAACAGTATTACTATTTCTATCACTCCTCCTCTTCACGACATGTTTCGGCCGCAAACGGCCATCTTGAGGCTGGACAACTGGACGACGCCACTGGCAGATCAGTAAAATTTTAAATTCAGAATTAAAATTAGAAAGCATATTAAATTTTAACTAAGTGGATTATCGTTTTTAACATCTATTTTACTAA